TTTTTTTCGTGTAATATGTCAGATTTAGTAATGTTTTATCTCGTCATTGTGAATTCTCTGTATTTTTGTAACTCAAATGTCTTCTCTTTTTTTATTTATCATTTGCATTCATCCTCTTTTTCTCTACATCGACTCACTTATTTGTTTATTATTAATGTATTTTTTTTATGCTGATGTTATGTGATAGTTAGTATTGTTTTCTTCGATTTTATGTTCGGTTCATTAGTATCATTCTTTTAATTTTTTTATCGTCATATATTTGTGCACTTTTTTCTTAAATATGCACATTAGTTCGAAAATGAGCGAATCGTAAAAGAAAAGATATGTTTGGATTTTCTATTTAAAATATAAATTAAAAAAAAAGAAATCAATAGCAACAATTAAAACTTCTATTTAGATATGTTCATTAATCATCCAGTTAGCAATAATAAAGAAAATATTTACAAAAGGATTTGGTCTACAAGAGAGTTAATTATATGAAAATTATTATCGTCGAAATAAATCATATTATTATAATAAAAATCAATATTTTATTTTTGGTTTATAATTTTAAAAAAACTATAGATCCTTAAAATTTCGTACTTTGTTCTATTTCTTGTGTAGTTGTTGTCAACTCTTCATTTATGCTTGATATAATTAGTTGTTGTTTATTTTTATGAAGTTCTTGTTGACGATCTCGATCGAAACGGAGAACCGTAATAATTATAGATGTCAAACACATCGATATAGACAATAAGAGAATACCAAGAAAAAACGATCCAGTACGATCCTTCAAGATACCTAAAACAAAAGGTCCAACACCACCCCCAAGATTACCAATTGAATTAATGAAACCAATTGAACCAGCAGCGGCTGATTCACTTAAAAATAAACTTGGTAATGACCAAAATGCTGGTGCATAAGCTTTAGTACCAATTGATGCTACTGTAAAAAGAATAATCATTACAATAAGTGGTTGTTGTCGAATTAATGTTAAACCAAGTCCAATAGCACCTATAAGAATAGGTATAGAAGCATGAAAACGTCGTTCTTTAGTTCTATCTGAACTAAATCCAATAACTAACATTCCAACAAGAGAACCAAATGGTGGAATCATTAATAACCATGTAAGAAGACTATCACTTAGATGATACCAATCGCGAAGAATAGTTGGTAAAAAGATTTCCACACCATAACTACCTGTTACAACAAAAAAATAAGCAATAGCAAGAAGAATGACTTTAATATGACGTAAAGCTTGCAGTAATGTTAAATGACCACCAGCTGCTTGTCGATGTAGTAATTCAAGTGATAATTCTGTTTCCAATGCTTGACGTTCTTCGTCACTCAACCAATTAGCATCTTTTGGTCGATCAGTCAAAAAAAATAAAACAACAATACCGAATATCACTGATGGTACACCCCAAATGATATACATCCATTGCCAACCTTTAAGTTTAAATAATGTTCTATAGTAGATACCATTTTCAATAGTACCCATACGAAGAATATAATAGGATATTTTTGGACTAATGAACTGAGCGATTGGTGTAGCAGTAAAAAATAGAGAAAGTGCTCGAGCTCTTGCTCGTGCTGGAAACCAATGAGTTAAATAGACCACAATACCTGGAAAGAAACCAGCTTCGGCAAGACCAAGTAAAAAACGAATTAAATAAAAATGCCATGGTTGCTTGACAATTGCTGTTAATGAAGCTAAAATACCCCAAGTAATCATAATACGACAAATCCATTTACGTGCACTCCATTTTTCAACTATTAATGTGCCAGGAATTTCGAGAATTAAATAGCCAATAAAAAAAGCTACCTGACCAAGACCAAATATAGTTTCTGTTCGATGTTGAAATGATCGTAAATCATTGATCATTTTAAGTTTAGCTAATGAAACATTATTTCGATCAACATAAGCAATAATATATGAAAAAAATAGAAGTGGTAATAAGCGCCAGTAAGCTTTAATTATGGCAGAACGAAGTAAAGATGACATTGAAGAAGATACTTCCACCTGGTCAAAATTACAATAATAATAAATTGTATAAAAAAAAACAATCATAACATTATACTTTATCACTGTTGATGAAAAGGTTATCTTCTCACCAAAATAAAAAAAGCACATCACCTTTGCATATGTAAATCATTTAATGTAATCATAATCTATTTGCTTTAATCCCATCGATACCATTCAACCTTTTTTTTTTGTTAATAAATATATTTACAAAATATTAATCATTTCATACTAGTATGGAAGTGTTTCATCGTATAAAACAAGCTCGATGAAATATATCTTTAATAAATGAATCACTTACTTCTTTTTGTGCTTGTTCTAATTCTTTTTCAATTCATGTATAGTTGATTGTGTTTGAAAAAGATTTGTTTCTTTTGCTAACAAATCTTCTTTTTAACTGTAAATTATTTATTCAATTGTTGTTTATTACGTGTTGATTACATACAAAAGGACATACTTGAAAAATTCTTTTCGATCATTATTATTTGTTGTTTTTTCTTACTAGTTTGTTAATGCAATTCGTTTAATACATCTCTCAATATATCGAATTCTTTTTTAGTCGAAATTAATTCATATCGAAGTTTTTGTGTCGAATGATCACTATTTTATTCATATTTACGTAAAAGACCATTCTTTTTTTGTTTTTCAATATCTAATTCCTAAACAAATTTTACTCATTTGGTCACAGTCAAACTCAAAAGCTTAATAAATGCGTCTATTTGTAGGAAAATTTCCTGAAACTTGCACAATATTTTTCAAGTCGTTGTATCGACTCTTATCCTTGAGAATAGTTGCATGCAACATTCTTACATGCTGTTGCAAGATACAGGGTGGCCTAAAAGTCATCCGACAGTTTTTGATTCCGAATAACTTTTGATAGAAACAAGAAAGAGAGCTATGATTTTCACCGTTGAAAAGAGGAAGCTTGAGGACATCGAACCATATAATAAACATGATATTCATAATTTCTTTTTGGAAGAGTTTTGGAAAAATAAGATTAAATGTATTGGTGTACTCAGAGTTTCAAGTTTTATAGAAACTTTGAAAACCTTGGTTTTTTTAAAGAAATCCTCTTTAGAATGTTTTTGAACTATTATGTTTCTTATATGACTCGATGCTTCCAAGTCTCCTCTTTTCAGCGGTGAAAACTACAGCTCTCTTTCTTATTTCCATCGAAATTTATTCACAATCAAAAACTGCCTGGTGACTTTAGAGCCACTCATATATGATTCGCATGTAAATGCAAAAAGGTCATATTTACGAACATTATTACTAAAACGATTCTGCGTCGCCATACAAAACTGTCATTTTGCAGTGTGCATGTTGTTTCATGCAAGAATTTAGTTTTTTTTTCTTACCATTTGCTTATTTACGTCTCATTAAAATGACTTATTCGATTTTTCGAACTCGTCTATAGTTATTCGTATTTATGTTCACATGTGCTGAATAGTTATCATATAACCATTATATCCTTCAATTTTGATTGCACTTCTAACGTACGTAGGTCATCGAATGGTGAAGAAGTTCATCTAAAAAACTTCGATATGTTCATCATATGTTTATTACATGAGTTAGTTCTCTACAAAAGCATTCCTATGTCTTCGCATGCAGCAATAATATTAAGTTTGTACATGCATAAAACTTTATGCGTATGAACGTAAGTATAATTTACTCTGTGACTTATACCTATGTATGCCATGTCATAGCGATTTATGCATGTATACGCATTTAATAAGCTTTTAGGTTCAATCATTTGTATTCAATGTTGTTCATATTAATGACTTAATTCTGTTTGAAAACAATCAAACTATTGCTCAGCTTCATGTAATTTAATAGGATAAGTATCATGAAGTCTTTTAATTTGAATATCATGTGTGATATTAAATGTTGCTCATTATCCATGGTTAGAAATGTTGAATATATCTATTTTTAACTCATCAGACCAGATATACACGTGAATAATAGCATAAAAAAATTTTTTTTTCGTGTCAGATATAACATTTGACGTTGATGCATCAAGTAATATATTTGTTGCAGTTGAGATTGGAATCCGTTTTATTAGACTTGTTTGTTTATAGATTTCGTTAGAATATGACTAACGCAACTTGTTTAGTATTTATAGCAAAATGTAAACATCGTTCTCTAGATGATAGAGAGTTATAATTGACTATTGAGCAGATGGACAGGGAGGACATTGAATGATTGGTACTATTTGGAATAGTAGTTTAGTTGGTTTGTTTTCAGATTGATTTAGTAATAATGGGAATATATATATAGTCTATGATCTGATGTGAAGAATGACGAATTTTTTGAGTACACTGAAACTGAAAATAATCGTATCAAAATCTTACGAAAATTAAGTTAAATTTTCTGATATTGATTTTATTTGAATCGATATTTGACACTAATTTAGTCTAGAGTTATTTATAAAACTAGCGCCATCTATAATAGATTTTGATTCATATTTCAAGAATGGTTTGTTGTCAGATGCTACACCTCATATTTCTAGAATCAGAAAAATAAACTTGATTTTTGATACGAGTTTTATCCAATTATTCTTAGTTTTACTGGCTTTAAAGTTTACACGGTCTTCGTCACCAAATCACATGCTAAGACGGATTGTTGATTATCTACTCGATACGCTGTAATATTGTACTTTAGAATTAGCAGTATTCATTTTTTTGGAAACAGAATCACACAAAAAATAATTTATATTATCAAATAAAAAGACATAGAATGTGTTTCTTGATTTGATATTTCATAGCAACGAATATTAATCAATTAATTATGAAGAGACGAATAAAATACTAATATTTATTAAATAATATTTATTAATAATGAAAATTATCTATATGTAAATATTTTGAAATAATGTAAAATAATTCATAAAAACTCGACAAATAATTTAAAATTGCTATAATTACAAAATTTGAGCACAATAGTAAACAAATATTAATTATCGTATGATTCATACCATCAGTATGTATTCATACGTAATATGATATCAATATTGAAAGGTTTTTTTTTTTCGATAGTATAATAAGTCACCATAGGTAATCATCATGTGATCACTCATGTGACCAATGAAAAGAGTCGTTAAATTATTGTCGTATATGCTTGTACTCATTTACATTTGCTTGTTTATTTCGTCAAGGTATTTAAAAAAGGAGAAACTATATTCCTTTAGACATATCGATTTATATTTCGTTATAAGCAAATTGATTTTATAATCATATACAGATTCCTGCTACAATAATTTTTCTTGTTTTGATTTATTTTTTTTCAAGGTTCTATGGGTTTTCTTACTTATTATAAAGTTGGCTCCATTTTATACAATGCTTATAATGATGGCTGGTTCGATCCTTTGATCAATGACGTCGCCTATCGTTATCCAAGATATTACAATAAAGTGAATCGATATCTACATTATCCAGCACGACATCATTGGTACTAGTAAACTCATACTTCATCAAGATTTAGCCATTATTAATATACTGAATTTTCCTTTATTTTTATTTCAAAAAGATTAATGTAACATTTTTAATAATTTAATAAAAAACTTCTAAATAAAATAATGCTGGTAAAGATTTTAATTAAGTGCATTTGCATTATTTTTAACATAGTGTATGTGTTTACTGGATGTTGGTATCAGTCTGCTATCGATTCGCATCTGCCCAAGGTCTCAATCTTCTGCGATCAACAATACTATAGATGTAGTTAGTAGGAGACATTCTTTATTGTCCTAGAGGTGTTCTTCGACTTTGTAATCATAAGATATAGCATCGAAGTGAAATTTTTGACAAACCTTTATTAGATTTTTTTTTGGGATGTCAAGGTCTTTTTATTCAAATAAAGATGTTACAAAGAGGAAAGAAATTTAAAAAAAAACAATCAGTACGAAGATGTATTGAAGGCTGGAAATGATGCTGAGAGACTTATTAGAAGTGTCTTTTGTCTCGACATATCTATTCAGAACATAGGTGGTTCAGAACTATGTGATGTAATACATGCTTTTAAATTTCATTTAATATGTCTTTAAAATGAGTTTTAAGCGTTTTATCATTGTTTGATTGAGATTTTCTAATAGCTTGATTTAGAAGTGTCATTGAGTATAACTGTACTCTAGGAATGTTGTTTATGTCATGGATATAATTCACAGACGTGTGGATAGGAAAATCTAGGGCTGCTCGAACGGGTGTGGGTGTGTAAGTGAAGTACTCTTACCAACACCAATACCTATGCTCACCTTCAAGAACATCACTGGTACAATGACACTCACGCATATGTGCACTACATTCACACCCCATAACGACAATTATATTCACACAGTCACACCACCTCCCACGCCCACACATCACAGATGAAAGTAAGTTTGGAGTAACTACTTGGAGTGATGCTTACTTTAAACTGGGACTCCGTCTAACTATATAATTTAGACATTTAACTTCGGTCCAGTCAGATTTTTATATATTGAGATATTAGCTAATCAGATAATTTCACTTCATAGCTCTCATGCAATGAGAGTTTTAAACGGGATTTTTGACGATGAGAATTGACCCAGTTATACCTTTTCTAGTATGTAAGTGCCGGTAGGTGTATGGAGCGAGTGTGGATGCCATCTGTTGTTCGTGCTCACTCCCACATTCACACCCTTATTTCTTTTTATCTTTTACTATGTTCTATGCTTTCAACAATCAGTTCTATGAATTGTAAAAAAATTTCATCTATCTTAATAAAAACTTGTATGGTACTGAATGATTTCTCTCATAAATTAGATTCATCGAAGAAAAAAAGTGATTTTCTTCAACTAACTCGGTGAGATGACAGATGAACCATTATCGATTAATTAGGTAAGACTCTATTTCATAAGAAAAAATGCAACATCTTGTAGTGTTGATGACTTGCTAGTATTTATCTTCATTGCTAAGAGAATAATCTTTGAAGACACGAACAAGTGTTTAAATGAGTTATCTTTCGTTTGTTCATTTAGGCTTCATTATTGTGTTGGATATACGTATCAGTGAACAGAAGAACGGCAACCAGATGCATAACTATCCTTGAATGTGAATTTCTTGATGAAAAATTACAACAACTACATCTGAATTTTTACTTTATAGCAAGAGACTTATACTTGAAACGAGCAAGAGCTTTGTTCAATTTTTTATATGAATATGAATTTATTCTCCATGTTAGACTTAGCTAGTAGAAGGTTCATCTATCTACAGTCGGAGACAAAAGTTGAAGTGAAATTAGTGTTTTAATATTTTTTTCACATTTTTTTTCATATCAGGAGGTATATATACCAAAAGATACACCGATGTGACATACTATCACCAGTATGTGATATATCACCCTTACGTTATTTCACTCTTACTTCATATCATCCTTGTATAATATCAATCTTTTATCCTTACGTAATACTGTTCATAGTGTTCAATACTTTTTCACTACCTTTGTAATCGCTGCGCTATTCACTGCATATATGCTCATTGTTCTCTTTTCACTCCGAGAGACTACCGCGTTAAACAGATGCAAGGACAAATCGTTGAGAAGAAGAGAGAAGAGAAGAGAACAATCGAGAATATTCTCAGTGGATATTGCGCAGTGTGAAGGATACAACATACTCGAGGTTACACACCTTGTTGGGTGGTATATATATGTTAGTGTACAAGTTCATATGTATAATGTGTGTTAATATTGAGAGAGAAATAAAACCACGTACAACAAGTAACGGAATTGAGCTTGAGGGTGTGGGTGTGGATCATATCTTCATCTACACACTCACACCCACACTCTATTTTTTTGCTTTTTTCACAAATTTAATAAAAAATCTCACAAAAAATGACCTTCTTGAGCTTTCAAGCATTTTTCAATACGTTCAGACATACTGTCTACTAATGCTCGATATAATGTGTTTGGTATATTGTCCCATTCTTCTTGTAAACGTTTTTGTGAATCTGTCTTGGTATTAATTGGTTTTGATGCTAGTTTCTTGTCAATAATGCCACATAACTCTCCAACGACATTCAAATCTGGGCTCTTAGGAGGCCCTTCAAACATATTAATTTTCAATTTTATGATTTTTTCTTTAACTATCTTGCTAGTATGCCAAGAAGCTAAGTCATGTTGAAATCAGTACTTCTTTCCTTTTTGTAATCGTTTAATTGATGAAACTAATTGATTCTTTAAAACTTTACAATATTTCTTCGAGTCCATATTATAGGAATAAATCAATACTGATGTTTTACCATAGCCACAAACAGCACCCCATATTACCTATTTTTCCTCCATCTCGTGTGTTAATTTTGTGGATGCAATCGGGGGCGAGTTTTTCTAATTTAGTTCGCCATACCACCATCTTATTTTTACGTTTCAAAACGTAATAAGTTGATTCGTCACTGAATATAATACGACGCCAATCTTCAATTGTATAAGATCTAAACTTTTTACACCAAGCAATCCTTTTCGCCTTATGAATCTTGTTTAAAACTTGCGTGTTGATTTTCTTTGTATAAGTATATCCCATTTTATAAAGATAATGTCGCACACTTCTTGAAGAAACACACCAAGTCGATGAATCATTTAATTTTTGTGTAATAATATTGACATTTGCTTGGTTTTCTCCATTTGTTAGGCGTTTAAGATGGTGAGCAGTCCTTGGTGTAATTTTCGATGGACGACCCATTCGTGAAAGATCTTTGAACGTACCATGTTCACAATAACGTTTAATAGCATTTTTAACGCAAGTCCATGAAATATTAAGTTGATGACCAACATGAGAAATTGTAAATCCAGTATCAAATAGAGCAATTGTTTGTGCATGTTTGTACTCCCTAATTGATTTCATACCCACTTTACTTCTTTATATAACGACTAGTGTTATTCTGTCTTCCAACTCAACTTTAATTCGTCAATGTCCTCTCCTTTTATACATCGGTCACGAGAGAGAGCGAGAGAAATGAACTGACAACATAGAAATCTATCGAGAGTGAGATAACATCATTCCGTACAGATGGACGAGGAAGAGAGAAATGACCACTAACGACTAGAATTATTGGCACACTTTACTTCGGTGAATTTAATCTAAAACAAAGATTTTTCTTCGTAACCATTCAAGCATTTCACATGTCTAATTTATTTAAAGATGAAGCAAGCAACTAAAACGACACTATGGATAAATTAAATGTCTATAATTTCTTTCTATGTTTATATATTTAATCGTACTCTAATCGCATGTGCTAAAGTAAATAACACGTGAATTTCGAACAAATAAATGATCTTATTTCTCCAGATAGTAAGAGAGATCTCCGCCATTTATCTCTCGTCTTGTGAAGCCATTACCCATGAATGCAAAACGATTGGCGCTTCGATACTTGATGGTAAAATCTTCTCCACGTAGCACATCGAGCATCTCTTTGTAATGCAAGACTGAACCAGGGTACATGGCGACCTTCCCGTCAATCGTGTGATTCTTGTACCAGCTTCGACAACCACCACTCCAAACTGTTCGTTTCAAAAATTCTTGTGCATAAGTGTTGTAATCATCGACAGCGTCTTTTGTAACCTCGATAGAATGAATGTCTTCTTGTTGAATTTTTTGAGCCCACTTAAGGATGTAATCTGCACTCCATTCTATACAGGCAAGTAGATTCCCATGGGTGAAAGGAGCGTTTGGACCAAGAAAAACGAAGTAATTTGGAAAGCCATGAGCAGCGATTCCAAAGTAACCTTCGGGATCTGTCTTCCATGTCTGTGCGAGATCTACTCCATCACGTCCAATAAGTTTCCAAGCAGGACAGAAAGAAAGGTCAAATCCTGTTGCACAGATAATGGCATCCAAATGGTGATGCTTGTTATCAGCTGTCTGTATACCGGTTTTGGTAATACGAACAATATCAGACATCGTCACTTCGACATTTTCTGAAGTGAGTGCCTCTAAGTAACCTTCACCAGGTGTAAGTCGCCGACATCCAACGCTCCATTCAGGAATTAACATTGCAGCAAGTTCTTTGTTTCCACCGAGACGTTGCAACATAAGCTTCTTGATAGACTCCCGTGCATTAGCCTGTTCTGACGAGTCTTTTAGCGAAGTCACGAAAAATTTATTGAAATCTTGCTCAATTACTTTTCGTAATGCAAATAGTTTCTTTGGATTCGATCGAAATTCAGCCTTTTGTTCTTCGGTATAGTTGAAGTTTTTTCCATCGGCTCCTGCAAATTGCGATACAAAATTGGGACTGATCCAAGTCGGAGTTCGAATAAAGGTAGTGAGATGAGCTGCAATGGGTTGGATTTGTGGAAGAATTTGAATTGCGGATGCACCATTTCCAATGAGGCCAACCTTTTTATCCTGAAAATTGTAGTCGTCAGTCCATCGAGCAGAGTGCACGAGGTGACCTTCAAAGTCCTTCAATCCGTCAATATCTGGCCATATCCAATTGCTAAGACATCCACATCCGTTGATGAGTAAGTCACCCACATCCTGAATACTCTTCCCATCCTGTTCAATGTGAACATGCCATTTGCCATCCAATTCGTTCCACTCCGCACCAACAACTTTAGAATTGAGCTGAACATCTTTTGTTAAATTATACTTGACTGCCGTCCTTTTAATGTACGCAAGAATCTCAGAACCGCTGACATAGAACGAACTCCAATCGGGATTGGGTTCCCAAGTAAAGACGTATGTATGTGCTGGAACATCACACACAAGACCAGGGAATCGATTCTCATACCAAGTACCACCAATATCAAGATTCTTCTCGTAAATAACATGTTGAATGTGGTCGCCAAGTTTGTATTGGTGTTGGATTTTGTAGGCCATTGTAAGTCCAGAGAAACCTGCCCCGATAGTGATAATTTTGAGCGGTCGAGGTTGACCACGATATTGTTCTCGAATCGGTACCCAATTGCTTGGTCGAGTGGGCATTGACGAATGCGGTGGACTTTCCGCTGCTGCTGCTGCAACAATTCTTTCAACATCAGATAGTGCTATGTCGCCTTTTTATTAAGGAAGATATTCAAGAAAATTATTTCGAAGAGAATGCATTCATCGATTTGTATTCACATTCCTTACATTTACAAAATGTGGGATCCGATAAAGAAAGTATGCAGCATTGTTTAATTTCCTGCTTTCATCCCGAATATGTAAGCACGTTTCTATTATGCTCTTAGTATCATTTACAAAAGCAAAGATGTTTTGGTGCTATGGTGAACTAATAAGCATATGAGACTGCGCTATAGATTGGTTCACGGTAGTTCAAAAGGAGCTGATCTTCCAGCATGTCAAAGCCGTACAAATAAAAATTGAAAAAGCATATCTTGAGGCAGAGATGAGCACATGACAGGACAGATGACTTCTTTCTGCTTTTTAACGACCCATTTATGTTTAGAATTTAGTCAGTTTCCTTTGCATATTACTTTCCCTAATTAGTAATAAGTTTTTAATTGTTCAAAATGATCAATAGCGATGTACGAATATGAATATGGAACACTTGGACAATACCTTACGGATGCAATCAGTAAAAAAAAGCAATGAAAATCTTATATGAGAGAACAGTTGTCTTATCTTATTTCTGATCGGTTGCTTTCTTTCTTCTCTTATATCACTTCCATTGTTGAAATGACGTGAAGCAACCATACGGTTCTTTTCTTTCTACATTCTGGAACTCTCATAATGAATTCAAATTTAGTATCCTAGCCTGAAATTGATAGGAAAATAAGCTCGTTGTAATTTGCCCACTGTACGATATGAAAACTTGTACTATCTTTGCAAAGAGATTGAATGTATGTTTCTGGTTTGTCCTGCAGGACATGATGTCCTGTGTCCTGTCCCGCAGCAAGACAGAACGAAGAAGAAAACGTTCTACGCTCAACTCTCTTTTGTAGTGTCGCGCTCGATGTTCTGACTTTTTCTCTGTCTTTTTATATTGAACACTCAACTTTCGTAATGTAAACTAATCAGCTTCAAAGCTATACAATCTTGAAAATTCGAATACCTGCAGCAATAGGTTTGCAAATGATAGCAGGAGCATCATAGAAGCACTCTTAACAACCGATGGAATATTTTATGAAATGAATTCTACCGAAAAATCACTAGTTCTCCTGTGTAAAGCTATTTTGGACAATAGAGACAACTGCTTGTGATTTTACCACAAACTGTCAGAGCTTATTTTCTGTCATCTTGTCAGCAGTCGTAGAGTTCAAGCTTGAGAAATCCTGATTTTTCACTGTATAGTATTTAAACTATCTAGTTAGGTCAATATACAGGAAAGAATTCCTAAAAAAGAGAAACTTCGCCTGATGCCGCTTGCTCAATTTGAATAAGCGAGCATTCGCATGGAAATACGAAAAAATAGTTGTCTTCTTTTCTTTGACTCCTAGTGCTATGAGCAATAAATGTACGGTAAATATGTATTGTTAAGAAAGAAAAAAAGTACACTTACCTGCAAGGATGACTTCCGATTGAGCAGAATCCATTTTCACTATGATGATGATTCGAAGAGATGGGAGAAAAAGAGAAAATGGAGCGAACTTTAAACAGAGATCTAGAAGAGTAAAGAATAAATATTAGAGCAAATCATTTCAGTATGCTTCGATATGTGACGAGAGATCCAATGACATTTACTTCAACAACCGAGCGAACCAAAATAGTACCTAATGATGAAACAGGTTTCTGGTGAATCCAGAACGGATAATTCTTTGTAGATCATACTATAGAAATATCACGCTTTGAAGAATGAGAAGGTTTCAGGATGGATGTTGTAAATTCCATAGTCAATAAGGTTATCGATTTAAATCTGTCGAAAGTACTTCTTGTTTTACCTTACATAGTGCCGATACTTGGAAAACAAACCTTCTGAGGGTAAGATGCTTTTGTAAAGAAATTTGGACCTGACCAAATTTTATCTGTTTATGACGTTGCTGAAAAGTGAAAATAGATAAGAGAGAAAGAAAAGATCAATTTAATCAACTGACTAACAACACACGAACAAGGATTTTTATATTTAAGCGAGAAGAGAGAAAGGGAAAAGAAATGATAAGAAGAATGGCGGCCCGCAACAAAGAGCATATGTGGCGAAGGATCACGTCGCAGTGATATAAAAAAGAGCAAACAAAAAGAAAAACGAACTGTGTATGTCTCACACTTTTGTATACCATGTGAACTGTGGTCTTTATGTAACTGAAGAGAGGACGTCATCGAGAAAATAACTACTTACGATACATCTTGATTGTTACTTCAAACATGAAAAATTGACGACGAATTCTCTTATTGCACTGAAAACGAACTATTTGTACATCATAATAAAGCATGTCAATCGAACCAGGAAATGAGTAGTAACACATGTGAAATCAATTGAAGACTCAATTTTTACTTGCAATTGAAGTTTGCAATTAACGGTACAGACAACAATAGAGAACGAGACAACATTTCACTGCTCTGCTCATTTACTGCCTCTTTTAAAAAATCAGGCACAATTCACTCACCATTTTCTCTGCTTATTTTTTTGTTGCTTCCCACAATACAATAGTCATCTCAAGAAATATGAAAATAAAAAAAACCTAGCATTGCATCAACAACAGTCCATCTTCAGGGTGTGGGTGGGCGTAGGTATTGTTGTAGCTCATTTCTTTACCCACACCCTTATTGTATATAAATATATACAATAATTTTCTCGTTTTGTGATGAAGCAAGTACAATTAATGATCATGACTAATCATTAATGGAATATTTATTTGGTTTATTACTAATTGTTATTGAATGATGGTATGATATACCCTAAAGTGAGACTTGTATTTGATCTTTATAATATGTTATTGTACTAATATTATTTCAAATTAAAAATCATCTTTTAAAATATTTTGATATTACCCATGAAAAAAAATTTGGTATAAAAATGCGTTTCGACGCGTTTTTTTCCTGGTCCACATGTTTTCGCTAGACCTTAAACGCAGTTTTTAAAACGCATTGAAACGCATCCTTTTATTGGGAGAAACCGATATGTACCGACTAAAATGTGTTTCTAAAAATGCATTGGAATGCGTTTTTTTTCCTCTGAAACGCGTTTAAATGGCATTTTATTATTACAAAAGAACGCATATGAGCGATCCTTCTGAATCATTCTGAAAGTATCCTATTTATAGATAATTTTCCAGTAATGATGGATATATTTATCTAATCTATGTACATATACTCCCTAAGAAGTTAGCAAGAATTTTACTTGTGTTTTCTTCTTTTAAAAGACATTTTTTTACACATTTTACCGATAATATATGTAAAAAAAATGTCTTTTAGAAGAAGAAAACACAAGTAAAATTCTTGCTAACTTCTTAGGGAGTATATGTACATAGATTAGATAAATATATCCATCATTACTGGAAAATTATCTATAAATAGGACACTTTCAGAATGATTCAGAGGGGATCGCACAAACTCAAACTCTCATTACGTTGCTACAATTAGTTAGATCTAACTAGAGTTCTGCATAGTAATTTTCACTTCTTGACAGGATAGATACAGTTAACTTACGACAAACGAAAAGGAAGATATGGCTCGAGTAAAATAAACGAAAGAAGGATATAGAGCAAAATAAACAAAATAAGAATATGGATGGTTAGAGTAAAGTAAGCGAAAGAAGAATACTATTCAGTATAGTAAACGAAAGAAGAATATTGTTAGAACATAGTACGCGGAAGGAGGATATGATTAGAGTAACATGAAGGAAGACAGGATACGATTAGAGTATAGTAAGCGAAAGAGATTCCGTGGTTAGGGTTAAAATAACGAAAAATACAGTAACGTCGGACGAAGAAAAGTTTAGTAGATAGAAAAAAAAGACGGAAGAAATTATCGTGGAAAAATCTAATTCGAGTTAAAGGTACAAAATCTGGTACGGAATTATATAGACAAATGGACTAATAGTAACACAACACTTTCACTGAAAAAAAAATTTTCAGAAATTTTCTGCTTTTCTACATGTGAATTGAAAATTGCAATTGAATAAAACTGAATTATATCCGAAAAATATATCTAATTAGCTATAATTATGCCGCCATCTATCGAACAATATTGATTTTCCAAAAAATAATTCAGGCTCATCCGCAAAGACATTTCAGTTTATAAATAGAAAAAAGAAAAATTTTCATAATAAAAAAGTTTATTCAACGATACTATTATGTATGTCAAATTACGTCTACTACATCTATTGTTCAATAACAAGGAAACTCTGAAATTATGAAATTGCATAGAAGGAACGAAAGTGATGAAATATATCACATTCAGCACTCCGCATTGGAATTATCATTGTAATTTTAGCCACTAAGAGAAAGAAACTGAGATGACTCAAACACTGATTACGTAACTCTTTAACGGTTCCTAAACGGACTATAGTTATTCAAAGGCGACTATAAGGATTTGACTATAGAACGGGATATATGTAGGTTTGTGGAGAAAGACTTTCTCTATCTAGTGGTATATATATTATTAAATTGTGTTGCGTAGCGTGGTAGAAACTTGAATAGAAAAAATCACGCATCTTACATCTTACATCTTTTTAAGGAATACTCGTATACTATAATCTATATCATATTGAACCAGCACAGAACCTAATCCAATCATTTATATACCGTTCGACAGCCCACATTATCTACGTTAATAATCTATGTCAATCTTCTCTATAATTGAGCTATAATGTGCTTTATAATAGTTTGAAAAAAATAATTCTATGTTTTTTTGATCATGTGGTAGGGTGCTGTAGGAATAATTCACTAAAAACTCGATATCTGGGCAGAAACATGCCATGAACCCGAGCTCTTTTATAGTTCTCTTGGTCTCACTGAGTTCTACTCATAATCAAAACATGAGCTTGAACAACGCCCGACGATTGAATATACGCCCTCGTTAGGATCTTTATTGAAGAGGTTTTTCTGTGTGGTGGTCAGATTTGTAATAGGAATTATTCAAGCATTGACAATAAAATTAAGTCTAAAGCACACTGATTGTAAGTGATATACGTGATTTTTATATTATTATGCATTAGTGAAGTGCTAATAAGTGTACTAAATAAAGTCAAGCAGAGGTATTCCTCATATTATTTTGTAAAGCAAACAAATCTCTACAAGTTAGTATAGTTATAGTATATTGTTCCGAATTCTAAATATGACACTATAAATGTTGTTCTCAAGTGACATGATCAAAACAATATAGAATTATTTTTTTCAAACTATTATAAAGCACATTATAACTCAATTATAGAGAAGATTGACATAGATTATTAACGTAGATAATGTGGGCTGTCGAACGGTATATAAATGATTGGATTAGGTTCTGTGCTGGTTCAATATGATATAGATTATAGTATACGAGTATTCCTTAAAAATATGTAAGATGTAAGATGCATGATTTTTTCTATTCAAGTTTCTACCACGGTACGCAACACAATTTAATAATATATATACCACTAGATAGAGAAAGTCTTTCTCCACAAACCTACATATATCCCGTTCTATAGTCAAAAATCACACTGAAATTTATAGTCGCCTTTATCATTTACGTAATAACAAAAAAGATGAGATATTATTGAATTTTAACACATAAAAAATTTCTTGCGATAATGTTGAATTTGGGACAATTGATTTTAATCACCATATTCATACTAATGTAGATGATGTTATTGAAAAACTATGCTACTATTAATTCGAAACAATTTATTTTCATTCGGTATCCAACGTTAACTGAGTCTAGTTAGAGAACATATTACTACTTATCTTCAGTTGTTAGTTTTTTTTTATTAAATACATGCTTTGTTTTCTATGTTATTCGAGTATTTTTTTATCTTATTATATCACAAAGAATTGTTCCGAAGAGTAGTACCTTTTAACTTTTCAATGTTCACATTGATATCACCTAACATTTACTCTAACTAAAATAGATTTGTATTCTCTAAAAGCACATCTTTACTGGAAACACTTACATACAAATATTCGTTCAAACGCTTTTCTAAACTATCCATCTTTTGGAGAAAAAACGCATTAAAAAGAACAACATTGTAATGCGTTTCGAAAAAATCCGTTTTTTCTAGAAAAAACGCATCAAAAAGAACAATATAATAACGCGTTTCGAAAAAAACTCGTTTTTCGATCAAAGAAGGTTAAAAAACGCATTTGAATGCAAAGCAGATAAACGCATCCAAACGCATCCAAACGCATAAAACGAAACGCATTCAAACTGTGTTTTTAAGTTGCGTTTTAATTTGGAAAAATGCGTTCAAAATAAAAAGGATGCATTTAAATGCGCTGGAGAAAGAACTCGATGCGTTTAAACGCGTTGAACTTACAAAACGATGCGTTTAAACGCAAAAATAGCGTTTTTTTCTAAAAGTTTGCGTTGAAACGCATTTTTATCCCATATTTTTTTTCATGGGTAGTGTTGACTGAAATAATTCTTGTTATTCAATTGATTTCTTTTTACAATCATCAATAATACATATTCAATCCATTTTGAAATTAATTCTTTATCATCTATTTATTATATTCTATATTATTTGATATTGGTCCAAAACCTTAAATCAAAAAAGGGATTCTCTATTAAGCATGAAGACCTTTGTTAAATTTACTATCATTTCCACTATTTGTTGTGATTTTTTCAATTTCAGTTTTTTTTCTATAAATATCAAATCAAGTATTTGAAAGCTACGAGAAAGATACATATTCTATCTGACAGTATTGATGTTAGTTTGGTACGATATTCAGATATATCAGCATGCACACATTCACTCTAAAATAAATCAAGAAATATCTCAAATTCAGAAGCATAACTCAGCACTGGAGACATCAAGGTTGGGTGCAGAGTAATTAAATACAGACAAAGGGGTGCTGCTGAACATTATTTTCAAAAACAGGAGGAAGCTATATGAACGGATTTTAGAAGCGAAGAGAGAGCGTCATGTCCTATGTATCCCTCACAACTTTTATGCTGTTACTCGGATTAGACATGAAATCTAACATTTCGTCAGAAAAAATTATAAAGAACACAATAGTCATTCGCTATCTCTTCTGTTGCTCTTTGTATACTACTAGTAGATTCCGATTCAAAATATATTCGAAGGATTATTTCACTTAAGATTCGATTGAGTTCTGGAAATATGATCTTGTATAAACAAGGGAGTGCAGAATTAATGTTACTGAGATTATTATGAAATAACAAGAATAACAAAACGATCTGTCCAATCATGACGGAATAATATTTTTTCACTTTGTCTCTTAAATATCTCATCATAGCTATGTCTAGTTAGACTAATATTCTGAAAACATATATAAATTGGACTGCTCTACACATTGTAAAATTTTCATTAGATCTGATCTTTGTTTTGCATATTTATGATTGAAATATACAGGGTGTTTCATAAGTTTTGAGGCGCGACAAAATTCGTTTATATTAACATACAGAACAATGTCTAATCATTATATCTCTATATCAGCTTCGAGTAGTCGTGACGACCTTTCAAATGATATATCATAGAATAACATCTTTCCTTATAATGATAAAAATATAAACATGAGAATATGAGGATAAATTTTTCGAAATTGACCAACAAGATATTTTATTAAAAAAAAGAAGAATATTCTGTTTTATAAATACTTATATCAAACTGAATACACAAAAAAATCTCATTTAACAATCACATATTTGTTCTCCAACACTTCATCAATTTTCTTAGAAATTTTTATCAATCATCTTTTTATAATTATTACAAGTTATTTTTTTTATTTTTTATTCAGTCTAGTTTTTAGCTGTTTAAACTTTGAAAATTGTTCTCCTCGTACTTTTTTTCAATGGACTATACGTTAGCAAATTCAACATCAACTTCTTCAAGTAAAATTCGATGATTAAATAATTTATCGATAGTTCAAAATACAATCTCTGTTCTCTATTTTTCGTTTTGCAGATGACATTTTCATGTATTTTATTTATTTCAAACCGGTTATTGAGTATATAGCTTGACTGAACATGTAACAGTGGCTCATGATGAACACCGAATAAGATAAATATTTATTGGTTTTTACTGCATCTTTTTTGTGTAGAATATGTTCAGCTTTTTATGAAAGAGTCTCTAGAAAATTATGTTAGTCGATTTTGCAAAATTTATACTCACATTCTTATGTTTATATTTTTATTCCTATAAGGAAAGATGTTATTCCATGATATATCATTTGAAAGGTCATCACGAGTACTTGAAGTTGATATAGAAACATAATGATAAAACATAGTTTTGTGTGTTCATATAAACAAATTTTGTCGCACTTCAAAACTTACAAAGCACCCTGTACTTTTCCTACTATCATATTGTTTCGATTTAATACTTGTTCAACTTTTTCTTTCTCAAAGAGTAAGATAAGATATAAAATCGTTGTCACAAACTGAAATCTTTTTCATCTATCCTTTATTTTCAAGGCATGAATATTCATATTAAACAACTCATTTAAATCAAAAATAACATTGAAAATGGAATTGAAACAACTGTATACTAAAACTTGAAAGTATAGGAAAACAATCTAAAGAAGTACTACATATTTGACTCTTGTCATCGGACATAAAAATGAACGTTCTTTGTTTTGTTAATCTAGATGTCTAAAGATCAAATGTATTATAGAGGAAAAAGATACATTATATTGACATTTGTGAATGCTTAGTAAATTCTGACATATATTATAAAATATATGGAGACTCAATTTTTATCAGTGAAATTATTTGATATTCGATGATCAATAATGTTTAAAAGATAGATATTCTTTGTGACATTTGCCTTTGAAACATTAACATGTAACCGTAAACATATGAAAAAGAATAATTTTGCATTTGAAGGAGAGAAACACGCGATAAACTGGATTTAACTTTTTTTTTTGCAATAGTGAACTTGTTTTTTTTCTTTTTCGTGTGAAGCAAATATGTGTTGTAGCTTGAAAATATTGTATAGAATAGTTACAATTACGATGTTTTATTTTGACTTTGTGTTTTAGATTTAATATATTTGCAATTACACTTTTAAACGAACATATTCAAGGAAAAGGACATGCGAAGTCTTTAGCCAACAGTGATTCAAAATCAAATTCGGTCTCTACCCAGCTGATCAGTGTCCGTTTTATTCCATCTATCATGCAGCTATATATATATATATATATACAGAATCATAACACTAACGGAAAACGACAACAAATTCGCATCTCGCGTAATGAAGTGGCATAAAAATCGATTCATTTCAATTCCATTAATTTTCAAGAAAATGAGTTTTAATCAAAATTATGAAATTAAATTGATAAAAATGACTGGTTCAATAAATAAAATTAAAGCACATCAATTCTTAGATCTGTTGCATCATTTAATGCAATCATTTGATATTTCAAGTTCATTAGCAGAATTGTGAACATATGAATATTTGTCTGTACATATATACGGAGAACATAGGCACTTTTGATGGCTGTCATAAGATACTGATTGCGGAAAAACGTCTATAGAAGGAAAGTCATGAAATGATCTAACCGAAAGTGAAAATCATAAAAAAAGTCTGTGTGGATGTGGGGTAACCATACTCAACTGGTTAGTTATCTCTTTCTTTCTTCAATATGGATTGTACATCAAGAATAATTATTCTTTTGCGACAGACTGTAACCGATAGACTGAATTAATACTTTTATTATTGTTTATTTGCTACACTAGACATATAAATATTCCATACAGTACCAGCAGCGGAACCAACAAGTGGCCGAAAATCTAACGGGACAAAACGAAAATTAAGAAACGAAACAAATGGCCAATAACACGCACCAGCGAAAAGTGTACGTGGCATATCTTTCGACACTTTTTCTTGAGCATCAGACAAAGATTGTCCTTTCAGAAGCGTGATCGAAGTAAATACCAAGGAGATACCAATAGGTGCCATTACAATATTACTGAGCATTTTTTTCGCAATCTGGATAGATTGTTTTCCTAAAGAATAAAGAAACAAACAATACGATAATGAGTAAAAATTAGTTTGAGAGATTAAAATTGATAGATTGCTCAAATTATGAAAATATGCATCAATTTCTAGATCAAAGTCAATATAGGAAATGATAAAAGTTCAATTTATCATCATACATTCCTTCGATCATAAACGAAAACTTCTTTCTCATCACATCGCCATTATTCTATCTAAAACTTTCGAAAAAGACTTTAATAGAATAATGAAGCGAAAATAGTTTTTTTTTTTGACTTTGAAAAACGATGATGTGTTACCAAAGTCACAATTCAATGTTTTACCTGGAAATATTCTTTCTACAGTTCTTGCTAATGTAAATGAATATGGTGTCGAGACGAGAACAGCAGATGTACACATAATTAAACTACGATGATAATTCCACCATGGAAGAGATGAAAAACGATCATGTTCCACTTTCAAAATGCTTTTATCTCTTTCTAAAAATTGACAGATAAAGTCGCCTAATGTCACCGATGTACCAATGGCCATTGTTGTCCATACGTATGGTTTTATTAGACTACTCCATCCTGTTAACAATATTAATAAAGTAATCACGCTTGAATAGATTGATCATCAATAGCGCAAGAATACCTTGACTTTTAACAGCCCAAAAAGCAACCATGAGTTTGATATCATACACAAGAAAAAACAAATTTTTTCAAATCTAAAAGTAAATCACATCATTGACTAGAAATAGATTGTCAGTTAATATAACAATAGTTGTTCATTAAAACAAACAGCAATTACTAAAACAGTTTCCAAGTGCAATCTCGATTCTGGTCATACTAATATGCTAGAGGGTGAAAATTCTTCTTTCAATCGAGTAGAAATCAACATAAGGGATTGGTGATTTCGTCAGATGAATAGATTCTTGAAGAGATGCATGAATAAAAGGTTTAGCAGAGTATACAATCAAATAGCATCATCATCGGAGTAAACAATCGGAAAAGCAAATCTATAGGTATACATTAAATACTAACCTTTTACTGATGTTTTTATGAAGAAAATCGAACCTTCATATCAATCATAAAAAAACTGAACCAGTTCCAGAGTTAACATCTTCTATTCTTCTCAAATTCGAAAGAGCTCTGAACACTTTCATATAACTGCATGCATTTTATATCTGTTAGAAGATGAGTGGTGTCGTTCGGTCCTCATTTTTCGAGATTATTTGAAAATAGAATAGATGAAACGATACTTGAAGGTATCAAGTATTAACTTTTTACATCGAAATATTGAAGATTTGATTGTACTACGAAATTTTAGTATTTTAAGAAAGGAGTCTAATTTTGACTAGAACTTTGTAAAGTTTTCTTCGGGTTTGTTCTAAAATAAGATATAACATGTCTAAATTCACTCAAATGATTAGAAGTCAAGTAGAAAAATTAATGAGGATGAATTTCTTTAGGCTAAGAGAACCTTACTAAACGAACAGAATATCAGTTCAAAGTTTATTAACGAAGATCAAACTGATGGAATGAGAACTTTGTTAAGCTGATGAAGGAGTTCTCAGTTGATATACTCTCTATTTTACAATTTGATACAAAAATGATTCTCTCCAATGCTAAATGTCGCTAAAGAAGATAAAAATTTTTGAACATTGTACTTCACAAAATCTAAACAAAAATTGATATTGTTTCGATTTTGTTTAGAAATGTTTTTAAATAAAAAAAAACAAAACATTCAAACATTTCATTGTTACCTCTTACTGGATCATGAGTAAATTCATCTTCTTCAAAATATTGTATTATATTTATCTTGAGTGATATTGATTTTTCTTATTTATAATATCGTTTGATTTTTGTTAATTAGCAATGACGCATCAACAATAAATGATACTTATTGTTTTTCGTCGAAATAGTGTTCTGAATAGGAAAGATCCATGAATATTGAAATTGAATCAGATATATAACTCTGAGCTGTGAGAGGAGTACGAGAAAGAAGTTAATTTGTTTTTCTCACCGGTCCATCTCTTTAATTAATCGACAGATGTCACTGGTCTACGCAATAATACAAATAAATTCTATTTTCACTTCGTAGTGTCTCTTCGATTTTTCAGATATTTATTGCACATCTAATGATTTTACGATTTGACTGATCTACTCTAATTCGATTTCTTGTATATAGTTGTAATACTCTTAATTGTTTTTCTATTTTGCATATTGATAGATCGTTTAAAAATGAACATGGAAAGCTTTGATATTCATTTCCTTCTCTTGATTTCTCTTAATAGATTGTGTATCTATCTTTCTGATAGATATAATAATGAGCTTGTCGAGCAAACTTCACACCCGTTAGGAAAATATCATCATAAATGTATTGAATGGGATAAATACTTTTGAATGAATTTTCATTTATCCTCCTCCGTCACATTTAGTGTGTGTGTGCCTCATCGAAATATATGTTTTGTATTCGTATTGTTGCGAAAATCGATAGTCACATATATAAATGTCCTTGCCTAGTCTTCATCGTATGTCTGATCATATGCAGTTTTTACTATTATGATTATAGTTTTTTCAGATTATGTGAAGTAGTACCAATATAATCAAAAAAAAAAATTCGTTAATTCAAGTCTTTCTTATATGAAAAATATGTCTGATGATTGTTTCTTTATTTTAATTTACTATTTCATGCGAGAATTCATTATTCTATTATGTTCATAGAAATGAATTAAGTATATAACTGAAATTAAAATAATACATTAATACAGAGTTATGGAATTTAACATATTTGAAAAATCAAAAATTCAATCCATCTGATTTGGCCTGCAGGTGTTTCCAGTCAGATCAGATAGGAGTGGCCCATTGGCAACTTCGGATATCTAATAAATACTTTAGAATATAGTGTCCTGTACTGGTGTGAAATTACATTTAAATAATCACCCATTAATCGGTATAGTTCAACAGTATTGTTCTAAATAGTAACTATGTTTGTTTAATTCTATGAAACAATTTTTTTTGAAGTTATACACTTTCCCACTAACTGTGTCATAGCTCGGAGTCAAAAATAAAGGATTGAGTGTGAAACATTCTTGTTCAATTTCAAGAATTTTCCTTAAAGCTTCTCCTTCCCTCAAAAATCGATAATAACATTAAAAAATCCTAAAAAATGGCACTGTTTCTATAGAAGTGTTTTCTTATATGATAATAAAAAAGTTTATTTTAAAAAAAGGACTCTGTGGTGCTCTGGATCCTGACATGTTCTTTTCAAGAAAAAAAATTTAAATATATAACATGAATCTGGACAGAGAAATTTGAGTTATGCCTTCGACAAATCATGAACTGAGAAAAAACGAAAAAAATCTTCGGTTTTTTTTCGAAAACAACCTGTTTTTCGCATAGGGGATAACGAAAATCTTCAAAAATATTTGGAAAAAACGAGGTACCGAGTAAAAATTTTTGTCGTTTATGAGATATCAGATCACGGCCTATCTTTTTCTGCATTTATTTTAACTTCGATCATTCTGAAGAAAGGTGACTCTTTTTTAGGAGGAACTTAAATAAATCAAAAATAGATTCTTCTTTTGTGAGAGTAAATCTTGCATCTTTCTTGCAGATAGGATGAATGATAAAATATATGGATCTAGTACATCTAAGATATATTTTTGGCAAGAAGTAATATCTTTTGACTGAATAAAAATAAAACAACCAAAAACAAATTCTTATCCTTGATATCCCTAATAAAATCAATTCATTGATCAACGTAAGTAAATATTTTGATTATAGAAAACGAACATAATCTTTCGCTAGAAAAATCATTGATCATAAAGTCGAATTAAATAATGTATAAAGCTTTAAAAGTCTATATTCCTGCCATAACTGTGACATTAATCAGTTTTATATTTTTATATATAAATTTCCATATATAATTTTTTTCCATATTTTCATCAAAATGAATAATTTCTTTGTTTCTCTCTGCATGAATTTTATAGTACCCATAAATATTTTTTAAAGAATAGAGCACAGTTTAACTTTTTGCTGCATACATATTCAAGATTGTAATAAGTCATTCTTTCCATCTTTAAAAGTAACATGAAATACTTCGGATATTAAAATAACAAAAATTACAATGCATGAGAAGGAAAGAAAAGGCTCACGTGTTTTGTAATTCGTTGTATTATGAGAGTAGAAATTTATGTTTCGTTTATTTATTTTTTTCTTCCTTTGATGTCACTTTAAAAAAAAGAGCAGAAAAAGAATAATATTAATCATTTACAAAACAAGTAACCAGCGACATTTGAAAATAAAAAAAAAATATTTCAGTTTCATACATGTTAGTCAGTAAAAATTAAATGGATCTTAGACTTAAACGTATCGTTTTTCATCAAGCCATTTAATTACCTGACAACAGTATTTGGTGTAATCAAACATCTTGACAATATATAGATGGATGCATTGAAAACGAAAGCAAACGCACTTTCAAAAGCATATTTCGTCATCTCATCGTCGAAGAATTCTCACCAAAAATAAAATAAAGCTTATTTATTTTTCGTATACCTTCATAATACAGATTAAAAAGTTTGTTTTTCGTTTTGTGCGTGTTTTGCTTCACAATTGACTATACAATAAATTTTGCTAGTTCGCTATAGTTGCAATGTATGGAAGTATCTATTAATTATTTACTATATATATATGTTTACAATACATATTTCAGATATTATTAAATTTTCTCAAGAATCATGGCTATAGAATTGAACAATGTCAAACTTCGTCGTTGTCAATTATGTTTATGGAGTAATTATCCCAAACTTGG